AAAGATTTTATACCGGAAATTAACAAACAAGCAGATACGTAACAATATATTCATGGTAGTCCAAGTTATCCAATGAGAAGGATAAAAAAAACAAAAATAACTGGGAACTGATACTTACAGTGGGCAGAGCACAGATAACCCATTCTGTAGTTCTGTAATTTTGATTAGTTGATTATTTTTGTGAATTATGATACTAATAGATTAAGCTAAACAAATTTAAATTAATCAAAAATATTAATGAAAAGTTATAATGTAATTATTTTCATTATTGGATAGTTGGAATAAGTGAAAATGGTAATAATCAGAAACATTAATTTCAATTATTTGATTATTTTTGTGACAATCATAATTTTGATTATAGGATCGTTGGAATAATCTAGATATTGGAAATTGTAAACCAGAAGATCTGCTTAAAAAGTAAAAGATCGTTTTCAGAAGTTTCACAATTGAAATAGATGTGTGGCCATTTTGGGAGTGCTTTCTCATGCTAAGTATGAGAATAAAGTAAACAGAGTACAATGCTTATGTGAAAAATTATCAGTGATCTGCTCAGAGAAACAGGTGGAACTGGGTGGTCCAATGGGATAGTTTTCAGGGTAAAAAGATGGACTCTACTTAAGTAGGTTAGGTAAGAGGATGTTTGAGGAAGCTCTAAGTATATTCTTTAAAAATAGTTTAACTAAATTTATGTAGTGGTGAGTAGAATAAGCAATTAACTTGATTAATTGCTAAATTAATAACCTATAATCACTGAGTAGCATCAAGTAAAATAATGGATTAATCAAAATTATTATTAAATCAATTAGTGTCAGGGAAATATTAAATGAATGAAAATCATTGCTCCCAGTTATTACTATTTAATGGAAATTACAACACTTTGGTTATAAATCAATAATTGATAAAACTGCAATTGGGACGTAAAATTTAATCTACAAGTATCCATGCCCATAATTGAAAAATTGGTAACAGTGTAATTAAATCTATGTCTAAAAATAAAGTAGTTATAAGAGCTAAAACAAAATCGTTTACAACTTGTAGACAAGTAGAGAGATTACATTAAATGAATATTATTTAGTGTCAGCAAAGTACAACAGATTCTCATCCCTCCAATAATGGAGTCTCATCGTAGCATGAAGTCCAGGATGGCAAGGCGCCATTTCTACTTTAAACCATCGATCAGCAATAGGGACGCAACGGAGCAGTAGTAACTAGTTACTTGCTTATTAATATGTGTTTAATTCATTTTCGTTACCATTATAATGTAATTATTTTGTTTTAAAACAAAGCTCCAAAAGTAAATAACATGATTTAATTCTATTCCTTCTACTACTATAACACATTTGAGGAATTTGGCACCGGTTATAATATTCTAGAAATAATAATACCCAAGAAATATAATTTAGGTTGCAACTGTCCTTCGACGTCAGAATAAAAGAAAAAAAAATCCAGCATAATTTCGGCTTTCCTTGTTCTGAAAATAAGTTATTCAAAAATTTTGTTGCGTATCTCCTCGTTTGTTAATTTCCCGTATAAATTCTTTCCGAGAAAATTTAGTGATACAAGTCCTTTCTTAATTAAAACTAGTTTATTCTTTCTCGATACAACTTTATGATACACATAATAACAGCAATAATGGAGATGGAAGGGGTTGTGAACCCACCATTAACATGCTCCTTGTTCCAAAGTATCATCCCACAAAGTTTGGTTGAGATTGGCCCAGCAACCTAGTAGTAGTTAGATAACAGACAGATAAACAGACACAGGTTTTTATGCTTTCTTGACTTTTATTTTTATAAGGTGAAGTATCATCTCGGAACAGAAAACCCACTGCCTGCAAAAACATGGAAGATGTTAAGAAAAGGATTTATGAAGTTACAAAACATTGCAAAGAAATCACACACACAAAAGCAAGAGTTGTTTAAAACTATTACGATAGGTTCTGTTAACATCCAGGTACTAGTCTAACTTCTGGCTGCTTGCAATAGAGAAGATTCCCAAGAGGCTTACAGAGTTGGAAACTCTCTCATTAAGTATACTGATTAAAGTGTTTTGCCAAGTGCTGAAGTAAAGGACATTATAGAGTGCACTAACAGTTTAGTTATTGATACTATGAAGCATCATTTTTTTTGCAGTGCATATAAAAGCAAATCAAAGCTAACTTTAACATTAGTTATAATATTGTACTTACAATTCAACTCACAGAGGTTCTAATATAATTAAAACTAAATACTAGTGCTATAACCAAACCATGGTGACATTGTACTACTATACGATACTTTTAGGGAAATCGTTTTTGTTTATTTTTAGTATGTGCAAGGGCATCTGTCTGACACACGAACCAGTCTATTGGCAAGATCAGTTCCAATGTTAGCCACCTAGATACTAGTTGTGTGCAACCTCAGAGCAGATGAATCACTGGATAAAGGAGCAATGGCCAATACAATGTTCGTCTTCAAGCTGTACCAGATCATGCCACAAATACTGGGTAGATGGACAGATTACTACCCTCTATTACTTTTTCTCCAAAACAAATGAGTCTGTCATGGCTAGGAGGTTAAGGCGCTCGACTCGAAATCTGGGATCGCGGGTTTCCTAGGTCCACACAAGGACCTAAGTCCCGATGAAGCAGAACAGCGAATCTTCGTCCCACCAAAGATTATCGCCTTTTTAGTTGTGGCAGCATCATATAGTGTCAATAAGAAGGGGAAAGGCAAATGTGCATGTACCGTAACTGTAGTTTGTGAATGCGCAGATTCACGTTGTAGTCCAGATTGCAAGAAGGAGTCATGCCAGGATTGCGCAGAAGCCAAAAAGAAGAACAGCTGCGTTTGTACCGTTACCTGTTTTTGTGAAAATGGAAAGATGAAATGCGTCTGTAACTGCAAGGATGGCACGTCTCAGTGTTGTGAAGAAGCTAATGAGGGAAAGGACAAGTGTACTGTTACTTGTCACTGTTGAAACGTAAAGATGTGATCCCTTTCTGACTGAACTTTCAATAATCGTGAATTATTTGACCATTGAGAAGCCCAGAAATTGACGTTGTGGATATGAATACAAGGAGTATATCAACAAGAGCAAATTAATTTTATGATGATATACGTGACCTAAACCTTTAATGTTAAGCTATATATTCCAAATCTGATATTGTATGAAAGGCAGTTAGTAGTACATCAGACGAAATCTAGATATACACGTGTTGGTTCTCTTTTTAAATTCAGAAATTTTATTAATATGATAAAAAGTTTTAATTTTTAATTGAGGCCCGATAACTATTATAATTTATATAATTAGCTCGCTAGGTATGCCAAACACGAAAATAAAAACAAGATATTTGAAGATAGTGATGTAAAAATGTTAATTGGTTTTATAATTTTTCTTCAGTTTAATGCATGTACCATCAGCCGACGGGTTAGATTAGTTTTATATATTTTGTTTGACATTAGAAAAGTTAGCAGTTCGTGAATGAGGAATCAATGTACGAAGCTATAGTGAAATTTGAGAATAAAATTTTGTAATGTTGAAGTTATAGAGTATACGAAAGTGTTATGTACAAGTTTTGTTGGACCAGCGGTAAGCTTGAGATCTTATAACGTCAGAATGCAGAGTTCGATCCTTGTGATACCAAGTGCAGATAGGCTAGTGTGCAACTTTGCGTCTAAATAAAACAGAAACATTCTTGAAATATGTATTTCATCCCGATTACCATATTGTAATTTGAGCTTATGTTTGAAATTTCTTAACTCTCAATATGTCAATTGAGAGTTATTTAACACACTTGTTTGGGTTTGGTTTGTTTTGAATTTCGCGCAAAACTACACGAGGGCTATCTGCGCTGGCCATCCCTAATTTAGCAATGAAAGACTAGAACGAGGGCAGCTAGTCATCACTACCTACCGCCAACTCTTGGGCTATTCCCATGCCAACGAATAGTGGGATTAAAAGCTTCTGCACAACACTGAGACGTGTCATCCTTGCAGTTACAGACACATTTCATCTTTCCATTTTCACAGCGACAAGTAACTGTACATGTACATTTGACTTTCCCCTCCTTAGCTTCTGAACAACACTTAGGTGTGTCATCCTTGCAGTTACAGACGCATATCATCTTTCCATTTTCACAGCGACAGGTAACGGTACAAACACAGCTGTTCTTCTTTTTGGCTTCTGCGCAATCCTGGCATGACTCCTTCTTGCAATCTGGGCTACAACGTGAATCTTTGCATTCACAAACTACAGTAACTGTACATGCACATTTGCCTTTCCCCTCCTTAGCTTCTTCACAACACTGAGACGTCTCATCCTTGCAGTTACAGACGCATGTCATCTTTCCATTTTCACAGCGACAGGTAATGGTACATGTACAACAGTTGTTGTCTTTCGTTGTTTCACCTATTTGAAAATAAAATTAAAAACCGTCAAATTCACTTTTCATACAATAAAAAACACAACTACCTACTTAACATGAAGCATGCTTTTTCAAAATGACGTATATCTTTGTTACTCTTTTTATCGGCCTATAATTTGTGTTTTCAGCTGTTACCGTTCTGTAACAGAAAGTTAACGTAAAATCTGCTTCTTGTTGCTCAATTTGTTAAAGTAGGCGTTTTAAAAATTAAGTTCCTAATCTAAAATGTATGACTTAAATACACAGTAAAAAAAGTGTTAAAACGACACAACTTATATTCTGTAGAATTAACACAAGTCTGATGGATGAATGGTTACAGCAACTCTGTTGGCTGTTGTAAAATATTTGTGGTCGGTTTTATAAAATTACATACACGGAACAAAAATGTGATACAACAATGTATTTAAATAAACTAACTTTTCATTTGGAAACCTAAGTCATTTACTTCCTTAGAAAAACGCACAAAACTTCTGTATTGATATCTCTACAACAATAAATCTTGTTACAGTTCACACAAGTGTGTTTACGAACACAGTATTGTTGTGAAGTAACTCAACGTTTGTATTACTGTTAGTCTTCAACACTAAGGTTTAACAATGTACTCTATGAGTAGTTACTTTCTTGTAGACAAGGAAATAACTTACCAGCTGTTTCCATCTTCTGAGTAATTGTAAAGAACCAGCAAGTCAGTATCTTTTAAATTGTATCGTGTATCACACTAGGAAGAATTAGCTTCCTTTTCCTCTACTAACCTCTATTTATTGAGACAATTCTTGCAACATTATGTTTCGTGTGAAACTTTCAAGATAATTCAGCGGTTCGTGTGCAGCTTCTTGAACGATCTGCTAGAGGATAAACAGCCATCACGTGCACTATCTAATCGTGTTTGTAGAGGTATATTCACTTAACGACCACGGCAACTTACTATCATGTCGTCGGGTATTTCATTATCTTTGTAGCCCTAAGTATTGATCAAGATTTTGTTAAATATGATCACATTAAAAATAGTTAGTTCCACTTTTTTGCATGAGAAAGGGAGAGGGAACTTATATATTGAAGACACGTGGTCTCTGACTCGTGTTTGCCTCTTCGTGAGTTAGCTCAAAGACTTATATCGCTCGACTCGTAATCTGCGGGTCGCGGGTTCAAATCCCCGGGCCACCAAAAATGTTAAATTAGGGACGTCTAGCGCAGATAGCCCTTGTGTAGCTTTGCGCGAAAATTCAAAAACAAACAAACAATCATCCCTGGTGAGCACCACAGAAAGCTCATTGTGAAGCTTTGCTGTTGACAACAAACAAACTAACAACTCATGTTTAATGTTGTAAATCCAGTGACACCTTTAAATCAATGAGATATCACAAAATAAACACATAATAATTTTAAAATGAATGTAATTTTTTCTGTTTAAGAAGTAACTTCAGAACCTTGATAGTGTTAAGTATTTTTGTTTTCATCTGCCAACAAATGTGTAAGAAGTTTATTACTAGCACTTTAAAATATAGCAGTAAAGTTGTTGATTTTATACCAATCTTCTTGGGACATATCGTTAAAATTGAAAATAAGTTGGACTGTATCACTAACTTGTGCCATAGAAAAAACAGACAATAAAATTAAACTACTACATACTAAAATGTTTACCCAACTATACTTTATTGACAGCCTAAAACATTCAAAAACATCATCTTCTATGTTATTACATAATTTATTTAAACATAAATAACTTATCTTATAATTGCGTCATGCCACCCTGTATCTCAATTCTGAACATAATATCAATTTTAATATAAAGTTGGTGGCAAAAGATATGTTGGTCCCTTCAATAATTACTTGGGAGAGATATGAAACCATGAAATGAAACCCAACTCCTCATTAGATGATACCCCACAGCCATCCGTGTATACTTATCCCCAAATGTTTAAAAAGTGACGTGAACACTATAGCGTTGCTTCTGGATTATTCCTCTATAAACTGTTGATTTATATTACGAGGGTTTTATGAAACTAAGGCAATATTTACGTCACTGCTTTCTACGTGCGACAAATCGATGAACGCTATGCCTCAAAGCAACATTATTGTTTGTACTTCAGAAAAAGATCCGTCTTGTTCAAGCGTTGTGTACTCATGGCGTTACTGAGAAAGTAAACAACATGGCCGTGTTCTTGTCACTGTTCACCAAAGAAACTGTAATTAGTTTTTCGCATGAAAGGGACATAAATCATGAATTCTGAGATTTAGTCTGGATACACTAGAACTATGTCAAATACGGTCTTGTATTTTGGCCTTCGTGGATTTTTTTTTATTTAGTTTTGTTTTATTTCGCTTTACCAGTTAAAACCGAGACAAGAACGACAAATTTTTAATTAGCTTAAATTATGAAAATATCAATTATTGTTTGAAATATGCTCAAGATTTGCAAAGTCATTGTTGAATTGATAGGGTCAAGTACTAAAGTTTACAGATAACAGAAACTTGTCTAGTCATAGTTAGAGACACAGAAACAAGTCAATGACTGTGTGATATGGTATGTTCACGAATTTTGCTGAGTCACCATTTCATGGAGAAATATTTGGAGTTATTGTGTGAACCATACGAAATTGAATTCTAATTGTTTTATTTGAGGTTTATTGTATTAGTTTTACTTACTCGATTTGAAATATAAAGAACAGTAAATTTCTAGACTGTCATACAATCTAGTATAACTTTCTGTGTACAGAGTAACAAAATTATGCTACTTTAAGGGACTGAAGTCGATTAGCGGCGTATCATTGAAAAATATGAACCAATAAAAATCATAATAATAATACAATTCTGAATAGATACATGATACTCTTGTATGAACTTGAAATGTGAAAGTTTAGCAAATTTATCAAATACGAGAAAGTGGCAATTGGATATTCCAAACATTTTGTTAGCTATATATTTGTGATCAGTGGTCCAAAGCTGTTATTGTTTAGCAAACTGATCCTTAACCGAATTGGTTTTGAAATGTAGAATAATAATTTCGCGAAATTAACAGTGATAGTAAAAAAGCCTACAGAAGAAATAATAAACGGAAATTTAAAAAGATTTGCTAAATAGATATTATTTCGCACACAAAGCAAAACTTAGTTTGTGGAAATAATAAAACTCCAAGAAACAGACTGTTTCAACATCACCTCACCAGAGGATAGTTCTTTTTAGAATGTTATAGGAGGTGATGACTCTGGATTTTTTCTGTTGAATACTTCATCTTTTGTTTTCCTTCCGAATCAAAATAACAATAATGGAATGAAACTCGTTACCTTCTACCGTTGCTAAAGATGGGTATAGATGTACAAACAATTCTATTAATGGATGTCTGCCAGTTGCTTAGTAACTCTACATACTATACAGAAGTTCAGGTTTCATAGATAATGGAATATACGCTGCCTGAACTATGTGAACTTCATTCACAAGTTCATCAATACTCACTCATCAGTAATCATGGATAGCTTTATCCACATTGGTAACGTTTTCATCAGTGGTGGAACTGCTGGGGGTCCTGGTCCATCTTCATTTATTACACATTTTCGGCCATTGTTAAACCAGTCCATGCATTCGCACACTTTTCTTTACAGCGTACAATTCTCTCCACTGTGTACGAAAATTCACAGGTTGCTATCAACCGGTGCAACAGCTTCGATAGACAAGCAAGGTGCTAAGCATTTTATGGCCATGGGTGCACTATAAAGGTGACAGTAAAAACCTACTCTTCGATCAGACAAGAGTAGTCCAAGAATTGGTGGGAGCGATTGAGTAGCCTTGCCTCTAATCCAATTAGCTCAAACTTAAAGACTTCTATACGCTCTTAACCCTTTTTTTAGCTTTACGATAAAATTCTAAAAGATAAGGTATAAGAGTTTAACGTTTAAACCAATTCCCAAAATGTTAAAAGTTTTCTCTGTGTAAAAGTACTCTTTACCAGTTTTATATTCACCTGACATTTTTAAATATATAAAGTTCAGTATTGAAAAGCAAGAAGAGGAAACTTTAAATAATTCAGTATACTTTAATGGTTTTATTTTTTAAAAGCTAAAAGAATAAATATGTGAAATAAACATACATTGCACAAATTTTGTGATTTTATGTCATGGCCGCATTAAACAATTATTATCATATTGCTGGTACTACATATGTCTAACATAAAAAACAACAATAATAATGAAGGTAAGTACAGTATTAAAATAGCTTCTTTTCTCTACTAAGTTTTTTTGTTGACACTGAAAATATATAACTACTGAACTGTATACGAATAACATTTCATTGTTCAAATAAAAGCTATACCTCTTAATTTCCAAAACTTAAAAAATGTTTGAACTTTAATACTAAAATAACAAATGACAATAATGAAAACTATGTTGTTGTTTTTTTAACTGACAACTGTAATTTAGATTTATAGAAAACGGCTTGTCACAATAGCTGTAACGTTGTAAAAAGTAAAGCCTATCAAGAGCTTCTAATAAAAGTATAAAACTTTCTGCCAGTATCTACTGAATTCAATATGGAGAAAAGTAAGAAATAATTGTTTGTGATTTGAACTGAGAAGAAAATAACCAGTCCAAAAGAAACTGAACAATCACACAGTTTTATTGTCCAAACATCAGAATTTAAAGAGATCCTACAATAAAACAACTAAGTGTACATGTACAATCATAATAATATTGTTCTAGAACTGCACCAAATATTATCTAATATTCAAATTTTAACTTAGATATATCATCCTCTTATTTAGTATTATTTTTGATATTATCACTTCAATCTTAAAAAGTTAAACTGGAATTTTATACTTTTTACTGGGCTACAAACAGAAAAATCCTGCATCCAATTAATCTGCATTACTAATATCTACTCTATTACGTCAATATCCAAACATAAATAGGATACAGACACCATGCTGAGATTACATGAATTAAGTTATAGTCATACAAGCTGAAGATTAGAAGAAATGCAAGTGCACCAAAGTTAAGTACAATTACAATATAAAATTCACCTATAATCAATTCAATACCATCACATTAAAAGTAAAATAAATTTATGGTTGAGGTTCATAAATCGTGTTTTAAAGATCGATGTTGACTATTTAGGCACAAAATAACTTGAAATGAATTAAATATTTATAATAAATTAAGAAGAATATTAAAAGACCATACAACTAATAATAATAAAATCCTAAACTTCCCAGAGCTTATTTTTAAATTGTCTTTTAGTCTGAAACCGTTAAAGTAACCTTAACTCTCGTTTGAAAATAAATAATACTTATGACTAATGTTAATAACATGCCCTGCTAATCATTACGTATTCATTAGATTTTTTACGATTACATCTACACTTGGGCTGTAGTTTAAGGAGAATATTTTCATAGTACTAAACTGAGTTGTTACTTTTGGCATGAAGTTCCTGATCATAAAAGGCGACTTATGTGATATATTTCCACGGACTTATCGTACATTTGGGCAAATGAATATTATTGAAAATGTGAGAACAGTGCAGTTTAGATATGACTATTTTTCCACAACAATTGAAGAGTAAAACTCGGATAAAAGATGATAAAGTATAAACGTACACGTTTCAATATTATTTTATTTTACTTTATGGCACCCTTCTTTAGGAAGTAACGACAATGTTACATTGAATTTAGGCGAATAAAGAATATGTTACGACAGCGGAAGTCACGTGACCCTAGTAACACGTGATGAGTATCTAAAAGATTCACGAAGAGACGAGGGTAATGTGGATGTACGCTTTTAGAGT